GAATGAGTTATGTTTGACTTGTCTTCTTCCAAGAGATGATTTTTTTCTGGTTTTTAGAGTAGACTTTAGATGTGGGAGATTTCCACTGTCTTGCTAGAACAAGTTTCAAAACATGGGCAGTTTTCCTCCTGCTCTGGTAACTTGTAAACCAAAAAAAAGTCTTTGTTTTAGCAACTTGATTTGCAGTCAGACCGTATTATTTATTTGCTGCTTCAGTTGTAGGAGAAACTTTTGTAATGACAGGTGTCAGTCAAATAAATGTTTGTTTTCTTCCACCTGAGCAGAAGCAACACTAAAATTTCAACTGTGTTTTTAATAAACAAGGAGCCAATGGATGTGGGAACAATGGAAACCCTCTGATCACTTACTCTGGAAGGGCTGATTGTCAGCCACACCTCCACGGCATCTGCTTGGAGATATAATGAAGAAGGATTATCATTGCTGTAAGTGACTGCAGTGACTCTGGTCAGTGAATAATAAAGACATTGTCTTAGTGATCAGCCCTGCCTCCCAGGTGCTAACACTGTTAAGTGATATCTCAGTGGGATTTTGGGTCCTCATTTATGTAACTGCAATAGAAAACCAGACATAATTAATTTCATGCCGTTCCCTGCACTTCTAAACTGAAAACTCAGTCATGACCAAAGTCAGCTTATTTCTGCACTGATGACTTAAAGAAGCAGTGAAACACCTTTAAACAAAGACCTTGGTTTAGTATTGATAGATCAATGCAAAATGTTGGCTGTATATAAGTTTTCTCCAGAGCCTCCTTTGGACTGTGGTGGGGTGGAGGAAGAGTGAGCCATTAGCTGTGTCCTGTGGAAATGTGGAAATAAAATACTCTTTTGGTATTCCAGCTCTTCCCGGGGTGCTGGCTGCTCTTCGGAATTGTACAGAATCCTTCTGTGTCTGTCCTTACTCCCCTTGATTTGTAGCTTCAACTGTGTGAAAGGAGCTTAAATATATGGCTCCATCTTCATAAAAAGGGACAAAAGTGAAAAATAAAATGGACCAGCCCGGTTCTGTTGGAACATAACTGAAGTGAGGAGCAAGGAGAACTTCTAGATGTGCTTCTGTTTTACAGACCCAACCAAGCATCCCAAGGACTGCCTTGTTTAACCGGAAGTGGCCCCTGGTTGTCCTGAGAAGGGTACCTGAATATCAGAGTAGGTTTCCAAGGCTTGGGAAGCTGACTGGAAGAATTAAAAGGTGCAAGAGAAGTCTCTGACTTTTAAAGCCTTTTAACATCCCCAAATTTCTGTTGTGGTCACAGATGATACAATGCAGAGTTGATAAATTCACCTGCTCTTATATCAGGCAATTCTGTAAAGTTTCTTTGGATTTCTTGCCTCTCTTGGTGACCATATTCCAGCTGAGTCCAGAACAAAGGGCAAAATCCCGCTGAAACAATCCGTCCCCAGGGACTGGAGGCTTCTGCCTCTAATGTGCAGATAAAAGTCAGTCATACCAGCTGCAGATGAAATCACAGAAGAAATCTTGCTAATTAGTTGCATGAACTTTGTTTCTGCCTGGTTTGAGATTCCCTCAGCCTTGCATAGAGACCTGGGCACCCATGCTGCACACCTCAACGGGGCTGTCGATCTTCCAAGGAAGACTAACAATTTTTTTTGTGCCTAAAATAGCCCTGCAATTACTTCTGCTCACATGGTCCCACGGTAACAAAATGGTTTCTGCTAACTGGGTTTGTTCACACATGATTGAAAAGTTGCCCGACGTTGTTCTGCCAAGTTAGGCACTGATTCAGGTTTATGACCATATCATTAATATTTTAGTGCCGCATCAGTAACTGGTTGCTATTAATATGTAGTGAAACAGTGATATAAAAAGGGAGATGTTCCCAGTCATTTGGCAGAATTTGCATTACAGCTGGATGAAATTTATAACACATCTTCTGCAACCTACCGGTCTGAACTCCTGTTATTAATTTCTGCTGTGTTTATTTCTCCTTTATGTTCACTTTGGGCGATATTCTATCAAGTTTCCTGGCAAGCACCACAGTGGATATAGCTAATTTCAGCTGACTGCAGGGGAAGGACTCTGTAAAAAGTGAATTTTGAATTAGCACTGGTATTTGCAGCAAAAATCTCCCCCTGAGAAGTCTATTCCCCTCGGCCTGGCGTCAGCAGCACTTAAGTGCATGTGAATAGCCCTATTGACTTCAGGTAGGCAGCTGTTTAATTACCTTCCTGAATCAAGGCCAGGACCAGGAAACAAGCTCCCAGCACAGACCTGGGTGCCGGCTCGAACAGCTTGTCTCCCGAATGCCTGACTTCTGTGAGTGACCCACGGATTGTTTGACTCGGTAATTTGGCAAATCCTTTCCAGTCGAGAATAAATTTGAGGAAATCATCATTTGACGCACAGAGAGGTGAAATTTGTGCTGTGTATTTTTCATGATGAGGCAGCTATTGCCCGGATTTATTCAGCCTGCTTGGCTCTTCCTGTTTCAATAGGCCCAGCAATCACATTTTCTCCCCCCCCCCACGTTTTATTTAGGAACTGTGAAATGACAGGTCTCTTGCCTTTCTAGCAGGCAAGCAGTGTGCTGTACACAGCATGCTGCACGCAGGAGGAGGAGGATAAAGAATGACATGCTACTCTGTAAGTTACAACTATTTTTTTTCAGGCTCACATCTGCTCTTGTCCCTCTTCTGTTCTCAGATCACTCTTCGGCTTCCCTTAGGAATCCAGCTGTGTCATCACATTGTGCGGCATCCTAATATTTCATACTAAGCTGTAAGCCAATTAGGAATGACTACTTACCATGCTGAATCATAGGAAGAGAAAAGGATAATGTGTCCTTCATATAACGAACCTCCTCTTTTTTGGCAAGACAGATCACCTACGTGTTATATTTATAAGCCCTGTGGCTTTTCACTCTGCCCAATTAGGGTGCAGCTTCCCCTCACACTGCTGCAATATTTTAAGGGACTTATTTACGGATGGATGCTTATTGAAAATGCTGACCTGCTACCATTGTACCTCATGCCACCTTTCATCTTCAGAGGCTGAAACACTGGACAAAACTTGATGTTGTAATTACCTTTAACAGGATGAGAACATGAGTGCAGCAAAATATAAATACCTTGTCCTGGGTTCCTAAATGAACTGGTGACCCAGAATGAGGGTGTAACATTATGGCATGCCACACAGGGTTGGGGGAGATGTTGATTAAAGTTAAACTGTAAAATAAAGCCTCTTACATCTAAAAGGAAGAAGAATAAACCATTGATGTGCATTTGGGAATGCGTGAAGTGTTTAGTAATGAGCATCAAAGAGAAAGATATTAAAATATATTTCCCATGCTGAAGTAATTAATGGGCTATTGTGCCAGGTGTCTAAGCTGCTCAGAGGTCTGGGATAAACAGTGTTCCAGCAGAGGATGCAAAGCATGATTTATGATTAAATGGAATGATGTTAGTTGTAGTGGAGCCTTTAGGATGCCCCCTTTCCTCCAACTTTCTTTTTCCTAAGCTGCTTAAGGAGCTACCGATAGTATTTATTGTCTGGGAAGAGATGTACTCCTTTAAATTTGCCTTTGGATCTGAGTGGTGTTGCAAACTGAGGACTCTGGTGACCTGTGTCTAGTACCTGCCATCCTTCAAACCTTGCCTAGTCTTGTTAGTCCTCACTGCAGAGCAAGCAGGGCAGCACAGAAGCAAGTGAATCCCACCCTCAGGTGACAGATTTTGTGTGCAGTCGAGGTAGGGATCACGTTCATGGAAGAGCCCTGGCTGTGGATACATCCAGAGAGAAGAGATGGCCTCTCAGATTTGCCTCCCCAAACTGTATTTTCCAAACCAAATTCAGCCATTTTTGTTGCCTCTGCTGCTCAGAGAGGGTGTAGCTAAACAAAATGTGTGTCTCTGGTTTCAGACTTCAGCGGGGCCCAGCCATACCCTGCCAGGGTTCAGTGTCTGCTCTGCTGGTCACATCCTCTTGCTTTTCCTCAAAATACCTCTGAGATAAGCAAGTTCTCCCACAGCCTGCTGGGAAAGAGCAGTGGAGAGTCAAGGCTGAACACGTGGGGCTGAAAGCACAGAGGCAGACAGCTGTAGGGGATCAGGGAGATCCCATTTGCTTTCCAGGGTAACTAAGCCCACCTGTGCTGAGCGTGTTAAGAGGGCTCAGATGTACGTGGTGAACTCTAATGGTAAGGTAGGGTTAAAGATGCTGCAGTATAAAAGCTTCTGCAAGCAGAGGAAAAAGGCTTATGGTATTTTTCTTGCTAGGAGAAATCTTCAGTAAGTTGAGGTTAGTTCTGGTGTAAGGGTTTTGTGCTTTATCTGGGATAATGCTTGTTTTATAAACACTGGGGTTCAGAAACCTCTTGGCATTCAAGAGAAAATTGCCTGTTTAGGATCTGTACCTTTTTGTATTGTTATTAAAAAATGTCTCAGTTAATCAATGCAGAAGGCCTTGCCAGCCTGTGTTGCAAAATTCCTTTTTATTTTTTTTTTAAATACAAGATGTATGTAATTTATGTTGTTCCTCTCCACATAGATAAGGACTCATCTCAAATGTCAGGGTGGGAGAGGAAAGGATACCTGACCCAGAGGGCAGGAATATTGAATGCACTGGTGTTGGACTTGACATTCCTCTAGTGTTCCCTGTAATAAAATCAATCTCCAGGAACCCTCCTGATATAAATACAGAGCTACTGTGCTTAATATATATTTCCAAAGGAATTTCATAGTAATTGAGTATTAAATGATGTCCAGTTATCATAAAGTGTTACTGTTTTTATTAAAAATTATAAATGGGTTTCAGCAGAACAGAATATACCAGATTGACACACCATCCCTATTAGTCTTTATGTTATAATTGTCATTGACTGCCTTTACTGTATTATTTCTAGATGGTTCATAATTTTCCCAGCTGAACAAATGAAGATTTGTGAGCAAAGAAAGGCACTGACTGGATTATGTAGTGCCATTGATTTTTTTTTTCTCCTTGTTTCACAGAATACACTAAAAAAATCTTGCTGTCTCTGTGATGGGCCTTATTAGCACCCAGAGGAGCTGGTGTGAGCTGATGGCAGTAACATGTGTGCTGCTCTGGAAATCTCAGCTTGAGGAGAAGGAGATGGCAGAGCTGGCCCTGGGATAAATCTGCTGGATGTCCAGGTATGACCTGAGCAGTCAGGATTTGGTGTGTGGGGGGCTTTGCCCAGTGTGCAGGTTGCAGTAAACTATCACAAATCCCTGTCTGCAGAACCAGTGACCTGAGGGCTGCACAAAGGGAATAGAGGTGACTGTTTTGGAGGCAAAGAAGGGCCTGTGTGGGATGCTGTGTCTCATTCAATAACATTTAATCCTGAAAAAGATGATGGCAGATATCCCATCCCTGGAAGTGTTCAAGGCCAGGTTGGATGGGGCTTGGAGCAACCTGGTCTAGTGGAAGGTGTCCCTGCCCATGGCAGGGAAATTGGAACTAGATGATCTTTAGGTCTTTTCCAACTCAAATCACTCTGACTCTGTGAAATACTGGCATTTCCCTTCTCTACAGATGATGGATTTTGCACAGCTTATCAAAGTAGCCTCACCCACATTGTCTCTCTTCACTGTGACTTTCAAAGCTTTTCAAGTTTGAAGAATAAAACCAAAGCAACTGTTATGGGGGCTTGGTTCAGTTTGTGGGAAATGTTGGTTATTATACCTTGCTACATTTGGGGATACTTGCACATTAAAAATTCTTGAAAAAAATAGGTTAAATATAGAATGGTTTCTAAGATTTGAAATGATTTCTCAGATTTGAAAATTGAAAACTGATATTTATTTGCAAAATGTGACCCAAATCTATTAATTATCTTATTCCTTCTAAAACTGTAAAAGAGGTAATTAGGTGTTCACAGCAGAAAGGATGTTACAGAACATTGCTACTCCATTTTATTGTCATTAAACAACAAACGATGAGACACCAAGAAATAGGAGGGGAACTGTGAATGGAAGTTATGGCAGGATTCATTATTTATGTTTATGTTCTTGAGGCTTGAATGAAATGACATATGTGGGCTAGAAATACAGCTCTTTCTATCCTTCAGTCAAGTCTAATGTGGTAGTACTTACCTTTTAGATGCCTGTATCTCTTATTGGATCTTGATGCATCATCTAGTTTAGATTAGCAATTTGGCTTTTTAATTAGCAGGGCTTCATTGTGGCCTGTTTGGCTCTGCTGCTGATCTTTGTATTATCTGTAGAACACAGCCTGTGGGAAGATGACCAGGAATGCCTAAAACCTTGTACAAAGCATTAAATGTGCTTTCTGGATCAGAAAATGTCAATGAACCCTCTTATACCGATATATAAGTTTCTGGGAACTTTCTGGAGTTCTATCACAACTAAATGGAAAAATGCCTGTCCAGTTAAAATGAAAAAAGGTGTTTCTGACCGTGGGAGTAAGGAGGGGTACAAATGCAGCCCAGTCTTTGCCCTTATTGTTTATTAATGCAGCCTCTGTTCCTCCTGAAAGCCATAACTGGCCTGTGTGTTCTGGTTTGTATAAGAAGTGACAGGAATTACACAGTCTCACTCCACAGACCAAACTTTTCACACAGCTCAGATAGAAATGAGCCCCTGGGGACTCACAGGATGCTGCCTGTGCTCTGTGAGACTCCGTGATGGCAAAGCCAGCTCTCAGTTGTTAATCCCAACACATCATACAAGACACTTTCTATCTCCTCCTGTAATGTTAATGCAGCTGGAATTCCATAAATCAAATCTCAGCAGTAAAAAGGTTAATAAGTTTACACTATATAATTGAAAGCCATATTGGTGATTAAAAGGATTTTATATATCAGTTTTCTGGGTCACCAACTAATTATTTTTGGTGGCCTGTAATAAAACATAGCACCATAGGCAGATAGAGGCTGTAATCACATAATATATGAAAAAAAGCATTTACATTTATTTGAGACGAGGTTGTGTACACCAGCTTGTTGAATAGCCTTTGAGGTACATCTCTCCCAGTTTGGAGACAATGGGAGAACTCATGTTCCATGTACTTGGTCAGGTTCATCCAAAGTTATTGGACTGAGTTTTGAGGTCTGGCACTCTCTCTCCAGAGCGAAGCCCAAGGGAACCAGCTGTCACCTGTGATGGAAAGGTTCTGCTGAGGCACTGGGGATCAGATTGCTATTATAATTCATTTTAATGCATTCTGCACGTACTAATCATTTATTGGAACAGGATCTTCTGTAATAGGGACATGACTAGCAAGAGACAGAGATGATGGATCATCCTTGCCTAGAAAGGATAGTTAAAAAAGACAAACAAAAAACCCCACACCTTCTGTACAAGGGGCAGGTGTGTGTGTATGTACTAGGGATTGGGTATTCAATGTGGAGATGGAGAAAAATTGAACTCAAAGCTTGAACTGAAATCTCTACAGTAAAAAAGGAACCTTCTGTACAAGGGGCAGATGTGCACGTGGGCATGAAGGATCATGTATTCAGTGTGGAGACAGAGAAAAACTGAACTCAAAACTTGAATTCAAATTTCTACTGTTCTGTCAGGCTGAAATGCCTTTTGGAGCCAAGAACCCAGGCACAGATGTTCCAAACTCATGCCTCTGTTTTGCAGGTTGTATGTTTTAGTGCATTTCTCTGATTGCATCAAGAAGCAGCTGAGGGCAAAGGCAGGTGGGCTTGCAGGGAGGTGTGTTGGCACAAATAGCTCAGGGGTCAGTTCTGTAGTCTCTGGGACCTCCTGTGATCCTGTGTGAGGTGACACAACCACAGCCTGTGTTATGGTTAAACAACCCACTGCTGATCTCAGTTGTTCTGCCTGTTAAGCAAAGGGCAAACAGCACGATGCGCTGAGCACTGGGCACGTCGTTCCCACCGTCAGGGCAGGATCTGAGATGTGACCAGAAACAAATGACCTGATGTTCAAATCCCTCCTGGACTCCCACTTTGGGGAGTGGGACCTTCTGTGACAAATATGTTTCTGTAATATTTTTTTAAGATCTTTTCGCTGCAGCTGTTAAATTGGCAAATCATTAACTCTTAAATGCCTATTGCATAAAATTTGTGCCACGACACGTTGTACTGTAATGAGCTAAGGTTCAAGTTCTTCGCTGCTAAAATAATTTGCTTGTTGTCTACTGTATCTAAATAGGAGCTTTTCTGTGCTGAAAAGAACATCTTTTTATTTAAATTAAGCTCTTAAAGTGTTTCCTAGCAGCATAGCTAAGGGGATACTTGATTTTAAACACAGGCTGGCGAGGTTAAAAGTGGAATGGCAGTCGGGTGAATAATGGCCTATGAGTCAGCTGCTGAACTGGACTTGACAACCTCCATGTCACCACCGGGTCAGAAGTCATTTTTGTGACAGTTTGAGGGTAAAGAAGTAAAAAATAAACTGGTAGTTTCCACTGGTAGAAGGCCATATCAGGGCTTTCTGAACAAAGACTGAGAAGGGGAAAAGTTAAGCAGCAATAGTGCAAATAAGGAAAGAGTGTGGATATGAATTGCATCAGTGTAGGTGATTCAAATACCTCAGTGCACCTTCTGAAGTTCAGAGGACAAGCAATGTTGTTAAAGAGTCTGACTGCTGGAGTCCTGGCTGACACTAAGCAGGCCTCCCTCCCAGGGGTCTTTGCAGCTATAACTTGGTTAGATTTGATTTGAGCAATTTGGGGCTAAGAAAGAGCCAAGTAACACTTCTGCAATCTGCTGTTGTTACGGGGTGGAACAGCAGAACTGCTCGCCTTGCTGTCACTTTGTTCGGTCTCTCTCTTCGGAGAGGTTTTTGTCACCGGATTGGTAATATCAGGAAGTTGTTATTTTTTCACACATAATCAGCAGCAGAAAGAGCATGGTCCTGTTTCAGCCTCCAGGTGCTTACAGACATCTTTGTTAAAACTGACGAGGAGGGTGAGAACCGAATCGAAAGAGATGACAAGGTGACTTAGACAAGGCTTAGTGGTAAGGGAGTGCGTGGGAAGAGAGGGATATCATGGCTTCCCTGGGAAAGGACTCCTGCCTCTGACACAGATAATCCAGTTCTTCTGAATAATAAAATGACAGCAATATCTGAAGGGAAATAACGTATTCTGCATAAGTATTCCCGGTCAATAGCGTTGATAGAGGTAACAAATTGCTCTGTGTTGTTCACTCCTTGTGACAGATATGGAATGGTGTCCTCTGGATGGAGCTTCTGTCTGATATATTTTAGGTAGCATAAGCAAGGAAGGGAGGATCCCAAAAACTGTTCTGAACCTGACCTAGAACAAGAGGTCAGGACCATAATATGGCCTCTACTCCTCCTTGTCGCTGAAGTCTTTTCAATTCACGCCTTATTGCGTAAGTTCAATATACTTTTGGGCTAAAGCTCTCCCGAGCACTTAGCTCTCTAAACTCCCTACTCAGCAGGTGGCTTATTTAAATGTGGCTGTCAGCTTGGCCAGTGGCCAAAAGCAAATGGCTCGATGCGTGAACCGCAGTGTTTGGGTTTAATTCTGCTCTCGCTCCTGCCAGCACAATCCTCCTGGCTCCGGTGGGGTTGTGTGGGGTACAAGTGAGTGCAATATAGGGCTGTCTGCTCAACTGTTTGTCAAATAAATCTATGGCCAGTCATTTGCATTATGTCAGCTAAACATTTGCCTGGCACTTTTCTCATCTGCGAGCCAGGGAGGAATTCTGGGTTGCTTGAAATGAAAACCATCATTGTCAGCTCACACTTATCCAACGAGCGTTTCTCCCATCGCGTGTAAGTAACTTATTTTGCAACCCACAGCCTCGAAGAGGAAATGTGAAGTTTTTCTAAACATCCAGTACAAATGGGGATATTAGCTGCTTAATTGAGTCTTCAAAATTTGGGTCTTATGGCTGAGCAAGTGAGATGGAAGGAGGAAGGAAGCACATGGTTTAAATTAAATATATGGAAAATAACTGCCGAATGATAAAAATGTATTTTAAAAGTAAGCAAACCTGTTTTCCCTCTGCCTCTCCATTAAATGTGTCAGGAAAGGGCCTTTACAACTAGATGGTAATTAGAGAGGAAAAAGCACTGCTGGCAGAGCAGTCAATCTATCACATCCTCTACTGCCTAAATGTTACCAGCAATTAGACAAGTTAGTGGGGGAAAAACTTGACAAGCAAGTTTTATCACAGAATCATCTTGGT